TCAACATCACCACTGGCAACGAGACTGTGGAGAGCACCCTCTTCCAGCTGGAGACCCGCTACCTCCCACCCAACTTCTCCACCTTAATCTTCTTCCTGCTCATGACTGCAATGATGCTGACCTGCTTGCTGGCCTTCTTCCTCCTCACCCGACAGCCCAAGGTGTGGGAGCTCTCTCAGCAGCACCTCTTTCCCTGCAACATTGTGCTGAACTCATTTGACCAGATCCTTGACGAGGGAGCTGACTCACAGCTGGGCAGAGGCTGCTCATGCCCAAAGGATCCCAAGGGACCTGGGGACATCATGCCACAGAAGGTCTTCCACTCCCTAACCCAGCTCAGCCTCATCTACCTCCTCATTGCCTGGGTGAGCGCCCTGACAAACGGGGTCCTGCCATCTGTGCAGTCCTACTCCTGCCTGCCCTACGGACACACCACCTACCACCTGGCAGCCACACTCAGCTCCATGGCCAACCCCCTCGCCTGCATTGTGGCCATGTTCCTGCCCAACAGGTGGGTTGCAGGGCCCTGGGGGTTGCAGCAGGGTGCACACCAGGGGCTTCTGCCCCAGGAGTAGCCTCTAATTTGCAGGGGTTGGGGGTGTAGGGTGGGAGAGGGCCTGTGGGATAACCATGTCCTGGCAGCACAGACACACCAGGAAAGGAGGATGGAGCCAGCAAGGAGCCAGAATGTGCTGCATGCCCCTGCTGCTCACCAGGGACAGGTAGTGTTCTCCAGTGGCTCTCACATGTCTTTTGCAGGTCCCTGACCCTGATGGTCATCCTCACCATGGCAGGGACAGGCTTTGGTGCCTACAACATGGCCATTGCAGTGATGAGTCCCTGCCCACTCCTCCAGCAGTCCCAGTGGGGTGATGCCATCATCGTAAGTCATGGTGTCCCTCTCACTCAGGGAGGTCTTTGACGCCACACCTGGACCTGACCTCACCACGATGTCCCCACAGTGGGAAACCCCTGGCCCTGACCACTTTTCCACCTGTGCCACCAGGTCCTCTCCTGGGTGCTGTTCACCGGGACGCTCTCCTACATGAAGGTGATGGCTGGGGTGATCCTGCGGAGCCGCAGCCGCAGCGCGCTGGTGTGGTACGGGGTGCTGGAGCAGCTGGGCTCCCTCCTCGGGGCACTGCTCATGTTCCCCCTTGTCAACATCTACGGCCTTTTCAAATCTGCTGACTACTGCAGCCTGCAGTGCCCAGCATGAGTAGGGTGGACACCCCAAGACCGCTGCTCTTGCCAGCATGAACTCCAGTGAGGCTGGCTGGCTGAGAAGCAGTGCTGGGACCAGGACAGCTGCAGACATGCTGTGGGTCTGCAAGCTCCCTGATGGGCTTTGCCAGGGAGCAGCACCTCCAGGGCTTTGTCCCCAGCCTGGGCATGGGGTGTTCCCATCATGTGAAAGCAATAAGAAGGTGTTTTACTCAGCCCTCTGCCTCCCTGCTTCCCACAACCCCCACGTCGAGGGGGCTGTCTGTGCCAGTGGCCCCCACCTGGGTATCTCTCAAATGGGGCCATGTCCAGTCCCTTCCCCTGGGGGGTCCAGCACAGTTTGGCATTGTACCCTAAAGGCCCCCTGGACTCTGTGGTGGGCACAGACCCAGCTGCACCCAGCAGCACCGGTGGCATTCCCGGCCCTGTGCTGTGGCAGCTGCCCCCAGACAGGGGGTTTGCAACCAGCTGGGGGAAGTGGGGACAAAGGCAGCCATGGGGAGGGGGATGGTGGGACAACACAGAACATTCACAAGGCCCCCAACACCAGCTGGGGAAACTGAGGCACGGTGGGACTGGAGTGACATGTGTGATATTTTCCACCCTCTGCTGTGGTCCCATCCATGCTTTCTACTCCCTCCCCATTGTCCTGTGCCCCCCTGCACCCCATTTCAGCCCTGCTGCATCTTGAGATGGGCAGAGCTGGAGAGGGGCTGCAGCAGAACCTTGCACCAGACCAGTGAGGGCACGGTGCCCATGGCAGGGGTAGCACAGAACCAGTGCCAGGGTTGGCCCACCTGGTACCCAACTGTGCCCCAGCCAGGCCAGCCAGGACAGGGGCCGGGTGGACGTTGGGGCATGGCAGGCACGGGAGGTCAGGGCAGTGGAAGCCCCGGGATGGGACAGCACCCGTGCCCTGCACACGCCTGCACCCCTTCCCTGGGGCACGAGGCAGCCGGGCCTTTGTCCCCAGCCCTTTGTCTGGCATCTGCTCCCTGCGCCGGCGGCAGCACCAGACCACGAATTGGAGCCACTTTGGGGCTCCGGCTGCGACCCGGACGCCTCTGGGAAGGACGAGATTGGAATACCTAATAGCCAGCAGCCCCCCGAGCTGGCAGTGGTGGGGGTCCTGCAGCTGAGGCAGCAGAGAGGGCAGGACTGAGGGCTCTGCCTCCTGGCATTAGTGGGCATCCTCTGGCAGATCCTGGTTGACCTCACAGCCTGTGTCCAGGATCCATGGAGGATGGGGAAGCTGAGGACCAGTGGGAGATGTGGGGGCACCACAGGGCAGCTTGTCTCATTCCTCAGTAGCAGATATGTCCCTTGTGGGTAGACTGTGAGCTGGAGTAGGGACCTGACCTCTCTCCTCCTGCCCCCCAAGAGGATGATCCTGCCCTTGGGAGCCTCCAAAACCCCTCACCCACAGTACCCCCGCAGCCCCCTCCCTCTTGTCGGGGAAACAATTGCCTCCGATGGGAATTATTTCCATACAGCTGCTCAGGAAGGCACAAACCCGGTGGAGGAAGGCTGAGCCTTTCTTCTGGTGCTGCTCCCCCTCCCCACGGTGGTGGGGGCAGGTTTGGGGGGGCCCAGGCGCTGCCGTTAGCGCTATCAGCTCGGCAGGGCTGGCTGCGGTTATTACCATACATTATCGCAGTCCCCTGCCTCCGAAAGGAGCTGGGGCTGCTCCCCCCTTCCCAGCCCTCCCTCCTCCTGCCTTTTACACTTAATTACCTCCCTTATTACACCGCAGCCTGGAGAGAGACAAAATCCCAGGGCAGCGGGCAGGCAGGCAGCGGGCAGCGGGCAGGCAGTGGGCAGGCAGCGGGCAGGCAGGCCCAACTAGGGCGTAAGTAATCCCCCGTTCTGCAAACGTGCCTTCCAGGAGAGAACAGGCACACGCACGGATAAATAAATCAGGGAGCGGAGGCCGGGAGCCCAGTGTGTGTGTGTGGGATGCCACGAGCAGCCCGGCAGGCAGTGTCCCCTCGGGGCCGCAGCCCTGCGGGAGAGGTGACCTTGAACTTGGCAGAGCCTTGACGTCAGGGCAGTGCTGCAGGGACAGATGGGGCTCGTGGTGCTGCCAGCAATCCCTGGCCAAGCGCTGCAGGAGCAAGTGGAGAGACCCCAGCCCACATGGGGAGCAGCCCTGGGATCCTGTAGGATGTGGAGTGCTGTGGATATGGGATGCTCTGGGATGGGGGATGCTGTGAGCTATGGGATACGCTTAGCTGTGGGATGCTGTGAGATGCTGTGGGGTGCTCTAGGCTGTGGAATGATGTGGGCTGTGAGATGCCCTGGACTATAGGATACTGTGGGATGCCGTGGGATGCCCTGGGCTGTGGAGTACCACACAAAGCAGTGAGCAGGGGCACTGTGATGCAGGGCTGGCTCCAGATGTGGCTCTGGGCACGACTGAAGGAGCAGACATGGCTGTGAGCAGGCGGGCTCATGGTGCTGCCTGTGGGTATGCTGCTTGTGATCCCCAGACCCAGTGCCACATCCCTGGCCAAAAGGACTAGTGTGCCCAGGGCTGCCCCGTGCCAGCCATGCCAGCGCTCTGCCTGCGGTGACAGCGGAGGAACCATCCTTATTAAGTGCTGCAACACTCTCAGCATTACACAAGGCTCAGAGAGAACACGGCCGGCTGCCAGTCGGGTCTCCGTGTCACCCACTGGCCCTCAGATGGCACAACTCCGGCCTTCAGATGGCACAACTGCAGGAAAAGGCAGCCCCGGACCACCAGCTGCCTGCAGCGGAGCACAGAGGAAAGGGGGGGGAGTGGGGGCTCCAATGAGACGAGGGGGGAGTAAGAGTGGGGGCTCTGGCTGGGAACAATGAACTGCCACGGGCCCAGCTATTGTTGTGGCTCCGAAGGTCACGGTGCTTCCTGGGGACTGGGAGTGGGACAGGGACATGGGAAGGGAAGAGAAGGTGGGAAAAGAGGGATGGGAACAGTGAGCAGGGATGGGGACAAGACAGAGGAGGGACAGAGATGAGATCAGGGAAGAGGGGAAAGAGTTGAGGATGCAGGAAAAGGTACTGGGGAAGGGAGAAGGGAAAGAGAAAGGGGTCAGTGGAAAAGGACTGTGGACAGAGATGAGAACAGGGCACGGCAACCAGGAACAGGGATCAAGGACAAGGAAAGGAGAAAGGGACAAGAAGCAGGAACAGGGACAGGGATGGAGATAAGACAAGGGACAGGGGACAGGAATGGGGACAGGGGACATACATGAGGACAGGGATGGGGATGAAGACTCCCGCCCGCCAGACCCGTCTTTCCCTGGCCCCGGGGACTGGCGGCAGGGAGACAAAGGCGGTGGGAGGCAGAGGCATGTGCCCCCCCCCCTCCCGCCTCCCCCCGTCCCCCTGTGTCCCCATTGTCCGTGGCCGGGGTGGGGGGAGGAACCAGGGGGAGGGACCAGGGATCCCACAGTGTCGTGATGCCCGGGGCACCCCGCGCTGCCGGCAGCTCGGGGGGTTCTGGGGGGGCTCCGGGTGCGGCCGGGCGAAGCGGCCCCCTCCCCCCCCTCCCGCCTGCCTTCCTCCTCCTCCTCCCCCGCTTCCCCACCTCCTTCTCTTCCTCCTCCTCCTCCTCCTCCTCGCCGCCCTGCTGCCTCCCCGCCCCTCGCACTCGCCTCCCCGCGCCTCTCCGTGCGCACCGCCGGGGCCGAGCGCCGGGGCCGGGGCCGGGGCGGGGGGGCCGGGGCCGGTGCGGGGGCCGGGGCCGGTGGCGGTGCCGGTACCGGAGGTTTCCAGCGCTGCCCGGCCCCGCCATGCCCCGCTCCTTCCTGGTGAAGAAGCTGAAAGCGGAGGCGTTCCCGGCCGCCGGGGCCCCCGCGCCCCCCTACGCCCCCCTGGAGCCCCCCTACACGCTGCCCGGCCCCGCCGCCGGCGATGGTGAGTGCGGGGCCGGGGGTCCGGAGGGGCCCCCCCGCCTCTATTGTCTGTGCGCCCGGCGGGGCACCGGGAAGGAGACACGGGGGGGACGCAGGGCAGGACGGGGAGGGGGTCCCCGCGTTGTGTCCCGCGGCGGGCGAGGGGTGCGGGGCGGGGTGTGTCATCCCTCGTCGTCGTGTTGTCCCCGGCTCCGGTGCCACCGGCCGCTGCCGAAGTTGGTCCTTGGGGAAACATCTCCTGCGTGACAGCTTCAGCCCCGTGGGCAGCCCGAGTCCCCCCCGCCCATAGGGCACCGAGGTGGGCTCCTTCCCACGATAAGTTGGGGGGATAAGAAGCAACCGGTCTGCGGGGGTGGCGGGGGGCGGCAGCCTCGCCGTGCCGGAGGGTTTCATTGTTCGCAGCGGTGCCCCGAGCCCCCCTGGGAGCGCGGGGGGGGCCGGCGCCCTTCGGGGCACGGGGAGCGGGGTGGGGGAATAGGGGGTACCCCCAGCAGCGGGAGAGGTGCAAAAGGCTGGTCGGGGGACGGCCGTGGTCCTTGGAATCCCGTCCTGCGGGGAAACACTGCGGTGGGCTCGGAGTTCCCCGGGCTTGGCACAGCTCCGCAACGGGGCAGCCCAGGCACCTGCCCACAAAGAGGGGCTGGCCGCGAGTCGTGGGGTCTGTTGCATAGGCGGGGGAGTCCTGGCTGCTCGTGGATTGGGAAACGGAGCTGGATGCGGGAATGGGCCTGATCCAGCCACATACAAGCTAGCATCGCCCAGACGCTGCGGAGCTTGTCCCCGCTTTTCTAGTGCTCGCCGGCCCTTGGTGGGCTTTCCCTGCCAGGGGCCGGGGTGCAAAGCCTGGCCGGCCTGGGGGTCCTCTGCTCCCCCCCATCAACCAGGAGGCGGTGGGGGAGGGATGTGCTGCAGCTGGGCAGAAGCTGCCGACGCTGCTCTCCTGGAAATAACCTTGCTGCATGCTCGGAGGCAGCGTGAGAAATTGCTGAGCAGAGCGCTTTCTGCACAGCCCGCGCTGTCAGCACGGCGCGGGGGACGGGGGGGCCCGGCTCTGCCCCTGCCACACAGCCCCCTCCCCACAGTTGGCACCCCTGGATGCCACGGGACAAACGGCAGCCGTTGCTTGCCAAAGGGTCCCGTGGGTGCTGCCAGAGGGTGTGTGGATTTAGGGGATGCTCGGCTGCAGCTGTGGTGTGGTGTCCCTGCTGCCCTACGGGGTGCATGGGTCAGCCCAGCTGTGCACTGACCCCAGGCCCCCGATAGCCCCTCTGTCACTGTCAGTGGGGATGAGGCCTCTGAAGCAGCTTGCAAGAACCAGTGTGCACAAGGCAGAGGATTTCTGGGACCAATTTGGGGGTCTTGGGGTGCCAGTACATCCCCAGGATTGCTGGCCTCGTGGGAAGGGGGCTGTGCTGCTGCTCCTGTGGTGACCTTTGTGTGACAGCACAGAGGCATTGGGATGCCAACACAGCGCCCACTCTGACACAGGTTGGGAGTCCCACATACGAAGCAGTGTCACGAGCAGACTTGCACCAATGTCACATGTGTGTGACGCCATTGGAGTGGTACCTGAGCCTGGCTCCACATCTGGGGGGCTGTGGGTCACTCATTTTGGCAGGAGGCCAGGGATCTGGTGCTGCTGCCCTCCTGGTGTTGTTCCATCTCCAGGGAATAAGCCCTGCAGGGACAGCAGAGAGATGGGGGGGCTTTCCCAGCCTGTTCTCTGGGGAAGGGGAACCTGGAACAGCCTCATCCCCCTCATCCCGGCTGCTCATGGAGCATAGCTCATTACCGGCATGGCCCCGGTGAACAATGAGCTGCCGGCACCGACAGCTGTCTGGCAGCTAATGGCCCCCGGGGGCTGCCTGCAGCCGGGGCAGGCGCAGCTGGACGTTCTGCAGCTCCATCCCCAGTTCCCATCCCGAGCAGCCCTGCGGGATGGGACCCATCCTGCTGACAGATGCAGACAGGAGCCAGGGCAGGACAACGCAGCCCTGATGCTCAGTGGCTCAGCAGCGACAGGAACCAGTCTGGGGGGGGGCGGGGGGAAACCCTGGTTCTGCACCTCCTATGGGAAATTTTAGCTTGTGACTTTTTCCTGCCCCTGGTGAAGCTGCTCGGGAGGGACAATGACCCCACTGTGCTGTCCCCACAGGGTACCTCCAGCACTGCCTGGCGCCAGCCGGCTACGACACTGACAAGAAGCAAGGCTTGCCACCGCCGCCACCAGACCCAGCCTACGCACCCGGTCACGAGGAGTACAGCGATCCCGAGAGCCCCCAGTCCAGCTTTTCCGCCCGCTACTTCAATGGGGAGGCGGCAGTGACAGACAGCTACTCCATGGATGCCTTCTTCATCACGGACGGGCGGTCGCGCCGGCGCAGCGAGAGCCAGCGCCGTGGCAGCCACCGTCACTCCTGCCCCGAGTGCGGCAAGACCTACGCCACCTCCTCCAACCTCAGCCGGCACAAGCAGACCCACCGCAGCCTGGACAGCAAGATGGCGAGGAAATGCCCCACCTGCGGGAAGGCGTACGTCTCCATGCCCGCCCTGGCCATGCACGTCCTCACCCACAACCTCAAGCACAAGTGCGACGTGTGTGGCAAAGCCTTCAGCCGGCCCTGGCTGCTGCAGGGCCACATGAGGTCCCACACCGGGGAGAAGCCGTTCGGCTGCTCCCACTGCGGGAAAGCCTTCGCCGACCGCTCCAACCTGCGCGCCCACATGCAGACCCACTCCGCCTTCAAGCACTACAAGTGCAAGCAGTGCGAGAAGACCTTCGCTCTCAAGTCGTACCTCAACAAGCACTACGAGTCCGCCTGCTTCAAGGGCTCCGAACACAGCTGTGCAATAGGGAACTAGCCCCCCAACCCCTGTGGCACATCCCCATTCCCAACCTCATCCTGCTATCCAATCCCCGTCCCTGTCCCTATCTCATCCCATGCCCATCCCTGTTCCCCTATACATCCCATCCCGTCCCCATTCCCATCCCTATCTTATCCTGGTCCCAGTCCCTGTGCCAGCACTCCTGCAGCTGCAGCCAGCTGGTTTGTTGCTGTGCTGAGGCTGGAGGACATATCCCTGCAGACTCACTCCCCATTTGCTCCCTGGGAAGGGGGTCCCCCACTGTGGGACCCAGCTCCTTTCCCCTGGGTCCCAGAGCCCCCCCGCAGCCAGGCAGGTCTCTCTGCGGGGGACTCACCTGGGGACCTCTTCCAGACCCAGGAGAGATTTTCCTCCCTTAGCTTGTGACTTTCACCTCTATTTATTTAATTTATTACTATTATTTATTTAGAGCTGCTGCTTCTCTTCCCAGGGGATCCCGGGAGAGAAAAGACACTTTTCTGCTCCCCACTAGGAGCAAACCCTCCCCTTGACCCTAATCTTGATGAGACCACGGGCTGGTGTTACTGCCGGCTCGGCAGGACTGATGGCCACTGAGGCTGACAGAGGGCAGGGCTGCCAGTCACCCTTGGAGCCTGGGATCCCTGCAGCCCACCACACAGGGCACCCTGCTGCCCCTCTGCCCCGTGGCACAGTGTTCACCCTGGCACTGCAGATCCACAGCCCTGGAGTCAGGGGAAGAACCAAGGGAAGAGCCAGGGGAAGAGCCAGGGGCTTCCAGCAGAGATCCACAGGACACGTCCTCTGTTGGCTCCCAGCTCCCTGCTTGGCCAGGCACAACTGGCCCCTGCCACAGTGATGGGGAATAGCCCCCCCCAGGCAGGTGCAGCCCCCCCCCTCACCATGCTAAGGGCTGGGCTGGCAGCTGGGCTGGAGACCCAGCCCTGGGGCAGGTAGTACCCAAACCCCCAACCACCCCCCGTGTATCCCCAGCCCCTTCTCCAGCCGGCTCCCGGCTCCCTCGCCATTGCCCCCACCTGCACTCAGGAGGAGGGGATCAGAGTAGCTGTAAAGTTTGGGTGAGTCTATTTAAATGTTCTTATTTATATTATTTATAACTTATGCTTTTCACTATTTATTTGTCAAGACTGGCCGGGCCATGCCAGCGCTGGCTCGCAGGAGGTGGCAGAGCTGCTGCAGAGCTGCCGTGCCCAGGACACAGCCACGGTGACACGGACGGGGACAGGACCCCGAGAGCGGACTGTGTGGCGGGCACGGAGGGAGGAGGGCACGAGCTGGCCCGGCAGCCCAGGCTCCATGTCCTGCAAGTCTCCCCCAAAGGCAAAGCCCTTCTCCTTTGTCTTCCTTGCTGCCACGGGCTCCTGCTTTGCTCCGTGCCCCGCGCCAGCCCAGTGGGGACAAACCAGCCACTCTATGCAACCTCGCGGCGGAGCGCCCCGCATCGGCCCCGGAGCGAGCGCCGCACACGGCATTCCGGAGCGGGGCTCGACCCACGCCTCCGCTTCCTACCTCGGGCCGCGAGTTGCCACAGCCCCACCACCCCGTGCCGGTCCCCAACACTTCGGGACTGAGCCCGGCACCCCGTGGGGCCGCACTCGCGCACCCCCACACCGTCTTCCTGCGCCGTCTTCCTCCCTGCACCGTCTTCCTCCCGCTGCCTCGGTGCCTGTGTTGGTCACGGGTTGGGTGGGGATGTCCCTGTCGTGGTCCTCGCTGCCATGGCACGGTGACCACACGTCCGCACCCCACAGAGGGGGTGAGCATCGCCCTGGCCACACGGGCACCCCACCGGGTTTTCCCCACGATGCCGGCGGAGCACGGTGTCCTGAGGCCGGCAGGCTTGGAGCACTGCGCCGCTGCCCCTCTCTTCTGTAAATAGCAGATACTACAGCAATAATTTTCCGTGCATGATAGATTTTTTCTGCCAGGTTTTGTACTCGCCAGCCCCAGTATGACAAGTCTACTGAGATCCGGCCACCCGCAGTATTACTTGTAACGCAATTCAGGGATATAAAAGGGATTTCTGCCACTAACCATGTGTCTTGGGAGATTTGTGTCGGCGGTGGCGGGTGGCGGCACGCGAGCTGCCAGCCTGCCCATCTCACGGTGCCCTGTGCTCACGCCCACTCCTGGGCTGGAGCATCGTGGAGAGAAATGCCCCAAATAGAGGGGTGATGTCCTGGCAGCCCATTGGGAACGGGTGGCTGAGGTGCCCAGAGCATCCCACGCTGCCCTCGTGGCCCTGCCAGCCCTTCACCCAGTGGGCAGCGGCCAGACACCCCCCTACTGTGACAAGGCGGGGTTACGATGCCACCCTGCTCGTGAGAGCGCCGGGGGCTGTGAGCGCGGCAGAGCGCTGACCTGGAAGTAAAGCGGCGTGTGAAATCCCGGCAGCGGGCGCAGAGCCCGGCGGGCAGCCCGGGGAGGGTGCTGGTAATGCTCACACACCCCCGGGGCGCCGCTGCGCTGGATGGGGAGGATTCTGTGAGCAAATTTTATTTGAACTCGCCGGTGGCAACAACTCAGCAGAGCCCCTTCTCCCGGGGGCAGACAGGCATTCCTGCTCCCCACCCCTCTTTCCTCATCCTTTTCCAGATGCGGGTGCCAATGGGGGAAGGCAAATTATTTTTAGCACCCAGCTTGTCAGCAAAGACCTAGATGAGCCCTAGGCTCCCAGTGACATCAGTGCAATCTTTCACCAGCAAAGTCATTACCAGATTCACATTGCAGAAAACTAATTCCAGAGCCTCACAAACCCATCCCTGATCATCATCTGCATGCTCCCGAGTCAGCTCTGGGGCTGGGGACCGTCCATGACACCAGTGAGGGCACCGGGAGCAGCCATCCACTGTCATCATGTCCCTGCTGTGGATTCAGGGTGTCCCGGTTCAGCAGCCAGAGGGGTGGGAGACCCAGTTCTTCCCGGGAGCCTCTCCCCATTTGGAACACTGGTCTGAAGAAATGACCTAGAAAGATTCCGGGCTGAAGCTCTTCAGTGCCTGCCCAGCTGTGGAGCATCCCAGCATCACCGCTCAGCTCTGCAGTGGTTTCATGCCTCATGTTCATTGCCGCGGACCCCATAGGTGTCAGCACAGCAGGGAGAGGGCTCTGGGTTGGACACATGTTCCTGGTACAGCCAGGCAGGTGGGGGGCATATCCCAGCTTCCAGTTGCAGGATGATCCTGCCCGGGCACGGCCAGGTGGGACCCGAGAGCCGCAGAGGGCAGGATAAGGACCCCCGCACTCACGGTGGGGGGCTCAGCTGCCCCGTGCCCATGGGTGTCCCATGGGAAAGAGGAGCCGAGGGCAGCCCTGACCGCAGGCTCTCCGGAGCAGGCAGCGGGCCAGCCGGCTCTGGAACCCGGCCCGGAAGTCTGTCCTGCCCCTTCACTATGACTCTGCAAAACGGTGGGGCGGCGGCCGTGACGATGACGATGGCTGGGCCAGGAGGAAGCAAAGGGGCCCGGCTGGGCGCTGCGCTGCTCGGGGCAGAGCGGAGGGCTCGGCTGAGCAGAACAGAGGAAGGCCAAAGCCGGCCGGCAGCAACAGCCATGGCTGAGGCTGTCGACAGGAGCATCCATACACAGCACATCTCGGACGTGCACAACGTGCCCATGCGTGTCCTCATCCGGCCCATCCCGGCAGAGCTGGAGCCGGGAAAGGTGCAGAGCCTGATGGAGACCCTGCAGGTGAGCACAGCCCCCGGGATGCAGAGGCAGCCCCTCCTGCACCCATTCAGAGGGCACTGCTGGGGAAGCACCCAAGCCCTGGCACAGTCAGGTCGGGAGGTGTCAGAGCAGGTTGGGAGTGCCGGGGTGTGTTGCTCTTGGATGTCTCTCCCCTTTCCCAGGAGGATCCCGAGCGGGTGCCCCCCATCGACGTGCTCTGGGTCAAAGGCAGTGAGGGCGGCGATTACTTCTACTCCTTCGGGGGCTGCCACCGCTTCGCTGCCCACCAGGCACTCCGCCGGGAGACCATCCCGGCCAAGATCATCCCCTCCACCCTCAGCGACCTCCGGACCTACCTCGGCTCCTCCACTCCTCACCTGCGCTAGCCCAGCACCCCGAGGATGCCCAGCAGCCCCCTCTGTCCCTGGTGGTTCCGAGCCGTGAGCCCCTGGTGAGGATGCCCAGGGGTCCCCAGCCCTGGGGAGTCCCCGGGGTCCCTCCAGCCGGGAGGGGTCAAGGTCCCCCAGACTTGGGGGGTCCCCGGGGTCCCTCCAGCCGAGAGGGGTCAGGCTCTCACCGGTACCGGGAGGCACCCGGCGGGGCCGGCAGGTGGCGCCATTGTGCCGCGCTGCGCCGCCCGGAGCGACCCCGCGGACCGGGACGGGACGGGATGAACCGGGACGGGATGAACCGGGACGGGATGAACCGGGACGGGATGAACCGGGGCATGGCGCAATCGGGAATAGCTGAACCGGGATGGAGCAGGCTAAACCGGGGCACGGCTCAAGCGGGAATAGCTGAACCGGGATGGAACGGGCTTAATCGGGGCATGGCTCAAGCGGGACTGGCTGAACCGGAGCACACTGGAACTGGGACAAGTCACAGCTCATTCGGAGAACATCTGAACCGGGGAGGGGTACGGGCGTACTGGGACATAACAGAATCAAGGGCACAAGGAAGAGACACAGCTGACCCAGCATGGCCAGTCCCCAGCCCACCCTCAGCGATTCTGGGCTCACCTGTCATCCCAGTCTCCGTGGGGAACATCTCCAAAATCCTGTGGTGGGGACATCTGCTGCTGCACCTGGAATAAAGATGATCAAAACCCCTGCAGCTCCTTGGTGTGTTGCTAGAGGGTGCTGAGGTTGGGAGCAGTGGTCCAGCATGGCACATCACGGCACAGCATGGTGGCCTGTCACCAGCAGGAGCAGTGGCTGTGGACACACAGAACAATGACAGATGCTTTGCAAGGGGATGGATGTTCTCCAAGGGATGCTGTGCAGAGGATGGATGCTGTGACAAGACAATGCTCTGCCAGCCCGCCCTGACATAGAGGTGAATTCAGGGTCAGCTCTGGCCCAGCTCTGGGGACATGTCTAAGTCCTGCCATGCTGGGATGCTGTCATTTCTGCAAGCACACGTGCAGCCTGGAGAAAATGCCTCGAGCATCCCCTGGGCATCCCAGCATCCCTCTAAGTCAAGAGCCTCCATCCAGGGAGGGGAAAGGCCAGTGACTCACTCACCACTCCGTGAGTCAGCAGGACTGGGACAGGAACTGTGGCCGGACACTTCTGCCCCATCAGCCACGCTCCTCCCTGAACGGATCCTGCTCCCCAAGGGAAGAAATGGGCTGGGAGAAGAGGGCATGGCCGGGTCATTTGCATGGCAGGAGCTGGCAGTGCTGGCATCAGACAGGGAACAATTTACCGCTGCCCCCACGTTTCCACAGGATCCACTGGGGAGGAAGAGGCGGCTGGGCTGGGGGTCCTGGGTGAGGGGAAGGGACTGGAGGGAGACTCCGGCGCGGCAGAGCTGCATGTGCCACATGAAAGAAGCTGTGTGCCGGGAGGAAGCCCTGCAAGCATTCACTGAGAGCAGCCCTGGCCCACGGCTCCCAGATGGGCCATAAATTTCTCCTAAGAATTGTGGCGTGCTAAAAAGTTTCCTCTTGTTAGAGAGCGGGGGGTGGAGGGAGGAGGTAGCAGCTCCTGCAGCAGCTCCTGCAGCAGCTCCTGTGGCAATGTGGACATTTCCAGAGGGCCCCCAAACCCCCCATGGCAGGGACTGATGTCTGCCCATGTCCTGTGTGCCCCCACTGCTGGACATCTCACACAAACTCTCTTTGCCCCGCTCTCACAGGCTTGTGCCCCTCATCCCTTGGCTAAGAGGCAATTATTTCAGCAGAACTGGGAATTCCACAAGGTGAGAATGAACTGAGATCCTGCAACTCCTTTTCCTGCAAGCCATAGAGGCTTCTTCCACCTGGGAAGACTGCTGCAGGATCTGCTTTTCCAGCTTACCACCCCCTGCAAACAGTACCAAAGGTCCGTGCCGGTCCCAGGGTGTCCTGACATCACTCCCAGGGCTCCCTGGCACCAGCTGAGAGCCAGGACCCAGAGCTGTGTCCAAGGTGTTGTGTGAGCATCTCCAGGGCTGACCGTTGTATCCATGGGGCTGGCACGGTGTGGGCAGTGGGAGCTGGTCCCCAGCTGGGGCTGCTGGTGCCACAACCCCCTGGCTGGCACAGGAATGGGTGTCTCCAGAGCCCTGCATTGCCTCCATCTATTCGTCCTCCACCTGTCCCCCTTCCCTCTGCCTGACCCGCGGGATCTCTGGTGTCGCTGGCTGACAGCCGATCCGGCTGCCTCCAATCCATTCGTTCCAGGGCAGGAACAAAGGCGTTTTGTGGGCTCCCCCCAGCCTGGGCCAGGGAGGGGTGGGGGGGTGGTCCCAGCTCCGGAACTGGGACAGACTTCCCCGCACGACAGGCGTGTAATGCCTTCCAGACCAGCAGCCTCAGCCCTCAGGTACAGCCCGGAGGGGGAGGGGGCCTGGTGCTTCCCACACTGCCTGGGGACCCACCAGGTCACCCTGAGACAGCCCTGATCCAGGAAAATGGGGAAACTCTCCTGTTCCCCAAAATGTTTCACAATGCCCAGTCCCTATAGGACTCACCGCTTCTCCCCACCCAGGGGGCTTCAGGGGCTCTGGGAGCTCCCAGATTTGCCATCTCTTGTCTCTCAGTGCTGGGGAACAGGGACAAACTCCCCTGGGATAAGACCTCTGCCTCACTGGGCTCAGAGTTGGGCAGAAGGCAGCTGGACTTGGAGGCTGTGTGTGCCTAGCTGGACAGGACTGTGCATTCGGGATGGGGCAGCTCCCAGGCCTGTGGCCTCACTGCCCTGAGCACCCTGAAATTGGGGGGCTACAGGCAGAGGGGCCAGTCCTGGACATCCCCCAGTGCTAAGGTCTGGTCAGGAACTGTGGACTTGGGGCACTCAGTGGGATGGGATGGGGTGGGATGGCATGGATGGCTTGTGACAGGATAGGATGGGATATGATAGGACAGGATGAGATGGAATAGGATGGATGGGGTGGGGTTGAATGGATCAGTCCAGCACTGCTTCACCAGGGCTCAACAGGGTCAGGCCCAGTGTCCTGGTGGCCACATGTTCCAGCACTGCTGCAGGTCTGGAATCCATTTGCCTCGCCGGCCATGGTGTTTTCCCAGCAGGGCTGGAGCAATCCCGTGGGGCCGGGGGCAGCCCTGGCCCCTGCCCCATCTGCTCCCTGTTTATTTTCTTACACTTAAGTATCACCTCAAAGATAAACACTCCCTGGTGTGGGGGGCAGGGGGCATTTTCCTGGCAGCAGAGACAGGACCCAGCCCTCAGTGCCCAGCACCCTGATCCCACAATGCCCACTAAGAAGGGAATGCCTGGTTGGACTGGGGTCAGGGCTGCAACCCCATGCTCAGGCCATGTCCCTTCCATGCTCTATCTCCCATGCAGGGTCCTATGAATGCCTGACCCACTCCCTGGGTGTCAGTTACCTTGGCTGGATCAGCTGGGATAGCTGGAATGCCAAACCCCACCATGTCCTGGCACCCACTCAAGCTGGTAGAAGTTTTGTGATGCCACAGCCTCAACTACACCTCGTGCTGCCCAGCTGAGTCAGAGCCCAGGCCACAGTGCTGGGGGAGCTGGGGGGGGCCCAGGCACAGGGCCTCACGTCCTGTACCAGACGCCTGCCAGGCAGCACAGGAAAACCCGGCTGCTGCCGTGCATCCTCCTGCCCCGCAGCCACAGCATCCACAGGCAGCTGGACAGGCAGCGAGCAGGCAGCGTTCCCTGCTTCCCGTGGCTCCTGCTGTTCTCCCAGTCAGGGATGACAGCTCCTGTCCATCCATCCTTCTGTGTGCAGCATCTGGCAAGGCGGTGGTCACACCTATGCACGTCTGTGCCAATGCAGGGATGTCGCTGCAGCAGGATGTGGTGGCATTTGGGGTTTACATGGCACCCACAGGCACACATCCACATCCACGTGCAACTGCACAAACTCATGCACACATCCTCATACTCACATATATCCTGTGCACTCACACAAGGATGTACACATCCATGCATGCTTGCATGTACAGATGTGTGCAGCTGCACACCGACACACACGTTCATGAGTGCACACGTGTGCTGCCCCCACCCCACACTGAGCCATCTCCTGCCTGCTGCTCCTTCCCTGCCTGTGCCCTGCCATGTTCCAGACCCCACAGGCCACCAGCACCCCACATGTGGCCATGCCCCCCAGAAAAGCCCCGGGGCAGCTCGGCTGGATGTGGGGAGTGGGTGACCCCCCCAGCCTGTCCCCGTCAGCTGGAGGCCATGTGTGGGATGTGCAGCTGAGTACACAGCTCTTGCCATCCATCTTGTCACCTGTCAGGGCCAGAGGCTGCTATGGACCCCCAGACATGGCTCAGCAAGACTCTGGGGTGAGAGGAGGGCAGAGTGGGGGTGCCCCTCTCTGTACAGGCACCTGCCTTCTCCCAGCCTGCTTCCTGCCTGTCATGCCAAGGGCCTGCCCATCCCCAGCTTTGCCCCTGGCACTGCCTGCAGGTACCCTTTTGTGGGGGTCTGCACCTGGGCAGGGGCTACAGAAGAAGGCTGGGGTCCCTCATGGGAACTGATGAGAGAACTGGGAACTAGTGAGAGCTGTCAGTGTCACACAGTGCACATCCCTGCCCTTCCTCATCCCCAGGAGGATCCCTGTCTTCTTGCTCAGCCCTGCATCTCCCCAGCCCCTGGAGTGGCCCTGCATGTCCCCTTCCCCAGCAAGACCACCAGCCCCCAGCCCATCTCTCTTGCCCCCCACCGTGTGATTTACAGGCTCTGCACAGGCAGACAAATGGTGAAGGAAAACAGGGCAGGGGGTCTCGCCAGCCGGGGGCTGCCTGTGCCCCGCGGGGGGCAGAGGGGCCGTTTGCTCACAGCCAGCAGGACGGGAGGCAGTGAAGTGGTGCCGGTGCCAGGCAGCACAGCTGCCCCGTCATGGTCCAGCAGCCACAAGCCCTAAAAGCACAAGGAGTGCCCATGGGAGGACCCAGACCTAGTTTTCACAAGATGTAGTCCTGCAACCATAGGCTTTTGGCCATGGGGCATTGAGGAACTTGATGCCACCCCATTCCACGGCCCCCAAGGCACCCCACTGACCACCTCACTGGGGTTTTTGTGATATACCAGCTGCATTCTATGGCCACCGTCTCAGCCCTGGCAAGCCTCCAAGATTTCCCCCAGCATCCCTCTCTGGCTGTGGAGCTGATGGACAGTGGGGACTGCAGCTGGCACTGCCACGTCTCCCAGCCACATCCCAAGCAGACGTGGGGCCGTCTGCCAGGAGCCAGGTCCTGTCCTCCACGTTTTTGCTGCTTGATCTGGAGCATCGTGGAAGAGGAGGAAAGGGAGGAAGGCAGGCAGGAAGCCTCCCACCTGCTTGGCTCAGCTGGCTACCCCTCTGCTTGCTCCTTGGAGCGTTGGGCTCAGGGCTGGGGGGTTGAAGGCAGAGTGGGACATACATAGACCTCTCTGGTGAGGACGACCAGGGCCATAGTCTATGATATTGAGTGCCAAGGAATGACAAGGAGCAAGGGTCAGGCTGGGGGGCACCCCCAGCCCTTCCCAGGACACCGGTGATTCCTGCTGCTGCCAGCTCATTGCTCCCCTCTCAGGAAAAGACTCCATGTTTCCACTGCCGGCACACACCTTCCTCCTGGGCGGGAGGAAATGCTCCTGGCAGTGCTGCCTCTCCATGTCCCCCTGTCCCTTCCCATGATGGGCAGGCACGGTGCCAGGCCCGGGGAACAGAGGAGCGAGGAGCGCATCCCTGCAGGGCTGCCTGCCCTTGCCAATCCCTGCTTGCCCCGGGCATCCTCCTGGGCACAGACCCTGTCCCAGTGAGGCATGGCAGGGCAGCAGCGTGTCCCCCACTGGCATCCCTCTGATAAGCACCCCAGGCACTGCACCAGTGCCACCCACTCCTGGTTGCCTTCCCCATCCCAGCTCCTGAGCCCCATGTTTGTCTCATGCCACCCTGTGGGGGACCCAGAGCTGGCAAGCGACAGCAAGGCAGGGGCTGGGGACATGCAGCCTGCGGGCTGACTGTGCGTGACACCACTCTGCAGGTGCCAGAGGCCATGGCACAGGCAGCACTTGTTGGACAGTGGCCCTGGCACCGCCACAGTTCAGTTACCACCGTGGGCATGACCTGGCGTCAAGGTGCCCGCAGCCAGGATGGAGCCAGGCCAGTGGCCAGAGGCAGCGCTGGATCTCAGGGCCAGGGTGAGGACGCTGGCCGCCGGCCGCTGGCCGGAGCTCGGGGGGCCGGCTGGGGGTGGGCTCCGGAGCCAGCCCCTCCCCGGCCGTATAAATCCCGATTCCCCCTGCAGACGGTCGTCTCAGCCCTGCTGAGCTGCCGCGGCGGAGCAGCAGCGGGAAGGCGTCCGGAGCCGCCGTCGCGGCTGTGCCGGCGGGGGAAGGCTCCCCGCAGCCCGGGGGGTCCCCCCAGCAGGGCCGGGGGTGCGGGCGGGCACCCCACCATGGCCTTCACCATGCTGCGCCCCGTGGCTGCCCGCGTGCTCTACCCCGACCTCAGCATGCTGTCGGAGGACGAGGAGAACCGGAGCGAGAGCGACACGTCGGACCAGTCGTTCGGCTGCTGCGAGGGCGCCGAGGCTCGCCGCAAGCTGCCGCGGAAGCCGGGGCCGATGGTGATGGTGAAGCAGAGGCAAGCGGCGAACGCGCGGGAGCGGGACCGGACCCAGAGCGTCAACACGGCCTTCACCGCCCTGCGGACCCTCATCCCCACCGAGCCGGTGGATCGGAAGCTGTCCAAGATAGAGACCCTCCGCCTGGCCTCCAGCTACATCTCCCACCTGGCCAACGTGCTGCTGCTGGGCGAGGGATGCGAGGACGGGCAGCCCTGCTTCAGTGCCATCTATGGCGCCAAGGGCGACCTGGACAGCAAACAGCCCCGCAGCATCTGCACCTTCTGCCTCAGCAACCAGCGGAAAGGGGTGAGCGGGGTTCTGGGATGGGTTATGGTTCCTTCTGCCCCTCCTGAGTGTGGCCTGAGTGGGGCAGGAGGCTCAGCATATCCCCAAGGGGGGATGGGGGGCAGCAGACCCTGCCTGGGCTGAGCGAGGCAGGAGACTCGGCATGGCTCAGTGAGAACCACAGCTTCTGGCTCCAGCTCCCACTGGAGGTTTTGGCTGCTCTTGGCCAAATCCTGCTTGTAGCCACACGCCTACAGCTCCTGCTCACGTCAGAGGGCTGGGCTGCTCCCCCACGTCCATCCGGGCTGGGAGGTCTCGGGGGTTAAACAGTCACCCTGGAGCTGGCGGCATTGCTTGTCCCAAGGGGAGATTAGAGTTCGCTGACTGACCTCTTCCCCATCCCCGTCCTCATCCCCATCTCCGTACCCAAACCTGCCTGCCCACCAGCACTGCAGCAGGGCTACTCCAGCAGCTCTCTGATGTGATGAGGACAGGAAGGGCCCAGCAGACACCCTCCGAGGGGGGCCAGACAGAGTTCCCCGTCCAGTGTTCACATGCAGGGTCTGCTGGCAGCACCAGCACAGCTCCCATGCAGCTGAGTTGGGCCATGGCAGAGCATCCCTGCCCTGCCCACCCAGCTGATCCCTCCCAGCACCCTGCAGCTCAAGGGACACCTTTCTGTGGTGAGCCCACCCTGCTGCCCATGCCAGGGTCCTGGGTGTCCTTGACCCAGGAACAGCTGTGTAGGACAAGGGGCTGGAAGCTGCCTGACCTCTTGGATATCCCTTGGTAGGGCAGTAAGCAGGGGCTGCTGTACTTGCTGCTGTCCCCAGGGACCCTCAAGATGTCCCATGTGTGACCCCAAGCAGCACAGTCATGGGTCACACTCCAGCCCTCAGAGATTTTTCAGCTTTTGCTGCTCCATTTTTATTTGTTCCCCTGTTCCTGCCCTCCTCAGCAGGCTCTCCAGCCCTCCTGGGGTCCTGCAGCCCTGGTCCCTGGCAGATCTGGGGTCCTCTGGGCTGCTTCCTGGGGCTGGAGCCAGGGGTCTGGCACAGTGCTGGATCCCCCAGGAGACCCTGCAGAGGCACTGGGGCTGGGAAGCTCCTGCTGGAGGGCAATGGGGGGAGCTGGGTTGGAATCCAACTCTGTGCATCCCAGCCCTGAGCCTGGGCTGGAAAGGGGCTGTACTGGACTGGAAATGGGCAGGGCTGGAAGTGGGTTGTACTGCGCTAGAAATGGTCTGGAAATGGGCTGTACTGGGCCATGTTGGGCTGTGCAAGGCTGTAAATAGGCTGGGTTGGAAATGGGCTCTGTTGGGCTCTACTGATCCATGCTGAATTATACTGGAATGTTCTGGGCCAAATATGGACCATGTTGGTCTATGCTGCGTTATACTGGGCAGTACTGGGATAACGTTGTTCTCATAAACTGGGAGTTAGGGCTGAGTCTTCCTACCCCAGTTTAGACTGTGTGTGTCTCTCTAGGGCTGTGGATCTGTCTGGGGCTGTGTGTCTGTCCTGGAGTGCTGCTGGTCCTTGCCTTAGGTCTGAGCCATGCGGTGCTGAGCAGCCATGGGGACTGGGTCCTGCAGGGTCACAAGGGGGACCCACCTTTGAGAGCTCCACCACAGCACCCACCTCCCAGCCACCCATTCAACCACTTGAAAGGCATAGCCCCATCTGTCTGTCTGTCCACTCCAGGCAGCACAGAGCCACCCCAGAAATGAGCCACTGGCCATCTCACAGTGGATCCCCATGGAGGAGTCAGTGTGGTGGACAGTGGGCAGACACCCCATGGTACCTGCAGCTCTCCCTCCTCTCTCTGCAGGGCAGTCGGAGGGACCTCGGGGGCAACTGCCTGAAGGTGCGAGGGGTCGCACCCCTGCGAGTGTCGCGGAGATGAGCCGGGGTCCGGCAGCACCCACCTGAGACAGCGGCAGAGGCAGACGAAGCCCGCACACGCCAGCCCAGAGACCGCAGTGGGGAGGGAGGGAGCTGCTCACCTGAGGTGGCAGCGGCCGAGCCCAGGCTGGCACCGCACCAACACTGGCCCTGGAGCTGGCAGTGGGGCGGGAGGATGCTCCTGTGGCTGAGGCTGCAAATGCAGGGCAGGGCCGGGGAGGGGGTCCTCGCGGCCCAGGGCTGGACTGCAAGGGGCCTGTGTGCAGCCAGCGTCGAGGCGCTCCGGGGGGACAGTGTCATGGCCCTGGGGATGCTGGTTCTGCACGTGCAGCCGCTTGGAAAATAAAACCTTATTTTTCTGATGGGCCAGTGCCTGCCTGTCACCCCAGTGTGGGGTGAGGTGGGGGTCCCTGAGATGGCCCTGGACCCCCAGCCCTGCACAGCTGCTCTGTGGCCTCCATCTGGTACATCGTGACTGGCACAATGTCACTGCCACCATTGCCACCGCTGCCACCAATACTATGACTGCCACCAGCACAATGACTGTCCCCACTGTGAGTGCCACTGCCACCAGGATGACCGTGCAGAGCCTTGCATGGTGGGGCTGCAGGCAGCAGCACCTGCACAGGGTCAGGTGGGGACATGGGGGTTCCCAGGCCAGATCCCCACATGGGATTCTGCTTGAGGGGGCTGGACTGGCTGGGCGGTGCAGATAGCTGAGCCTGGGAATGGTGCTGTGCCGGGGCTGGCGGCTCCCAGGGGCCAGCGTGTCCCACGGAGCAGAGGCAGCTGTGGATGGGGCAGCTGGGGGCTCCCCCCAAGGGCTGAAGAACTGGAGCTGCCCTATCTCCCTGGGGTCCTGGAGCCAACATGGAGCAGGGGGAGCATGTTGGGGGTCCCGTTGGAGCCTGGCCCAGGCAGGGGCTCTGTTGGGAGTCCACGGCACCTCTTGGCCCCCTGCTCGCCGAGGTGAGCCTGCCCCGGGCTCCCTCCCCCGGGTTTGATTTATGGAGCTGACAGCGCGGTGCAGCTGTGAGAGCTGGTCCCAAGCAGGGACCAGGGTGGGTGGGAGAGGTTTGTTCTCAGCGTGGCTAATGTGTCCCAGACCCCAATAAACAGCCGTGAGATTCTCCAAACAGCCCAGGACACAGAATCCCTGTCCCTGGGTTTATCGGGGGGCAGGGGCCATGGGGGATGCTGTGCTCTGCAAACAACCCAACTCACACATAAAAGGGGACTGTCCTCATGAAGTAGTGGTTCTGGAGTACCCCAGGGGGTCAGCAAGGGCTGGTGGTCCCAGTGCTGACTGTATAGGTTCCAGTATGTCCCAGGGCTGAGCACCAGTGTCCCAGGATGTCCCAGTACCAGCAACTGGAGCCTCAATGAGCTCCAGTATGAAGACCATGAGCCCCGGTGAATCCCTGCACAGGAGCTGTGCATCCAGTAGGTGCCAGTGCCAAAGACTAGGGCCCTAGAAAGTACAAAGGCCATGCACCCCAGTATGTGCCAGTGCTGAGGCTGTGGGATCCAGTATGTCTTAGTGCTAGGGCCATGGATGTCGGCACACCCCAGTGCCAAGGATGGCACAGTGACCCCAAAGCAAGCTCCAGTGTAACAGCCTTGGGTCCCAGCATGTCCTAGTACAGGAGTCAGGTGCCCAGTAACATCCAGTGCTGGGATTGTGGATTCCAGCACATCCCACTGCTGAGGCTGTGGATCCCAGCAGGTCCCAGCTCTGGGGCCACGGGTCCCAGCATGTCCCAGTGACAAGCCTGTGGGTCCCAGGACATTCCAGTCCCTCCCAGCACTGCAAGAGGGAAACGGTGACTCAGAGCTGCCGGGCTGGTGGGAGCTGGGTGCCCCTTTGCCCCATGTGGGGTGAGTGTTGTGGCCACCGCCGGCTCCCCGGCAGCCGCAGCCCCACACTGAGCTCAGCCACACTCCCCTCCCATCCTCTCCCCTTCCTGCGTGCAGACACCCTTGGAAAGGCTCTTGGCCGCTTTCTCTGAGACAGGAAGGTGTCCCCGAGTCTCAGGAAGGAAAAACACTCAGTGCTGAACCCACAAAGACCGTCTCCGAGGGGCCAGGGCTGGAGAGGCTCCAGGCCTGACATCACCTGGGAACTGGAACCAGAACCGCAGCTGCACTCCGTGCCTGGTATTTTTATTTTTTTTTAACTTGTGTTTTTAAACTTTCTTTTTATAGATTTTTTTTTTTTTTTCTTCTTTCCCTTCTCCATTCCCCTCCCAAATATTTCAGCCTCCCCGCAGGCTGACCAGCCAGGCTGGAATGCAGCAGGGCTGAACCCGCGGGTGCCGGGAGCTGCTGATGGGATGGATGAGGCTGGGTCTGGCCAGGCAGGAGCTGCTGGAGCTGTGGGCAGGGGGTCAGGCTGGGGCTCAACCCCAGTGACAGGGGGCCAGCACCTGATAGCCTCTGGTATTGCTGTGCACCAGGGCTGCTGGAAAGGGATCCATGGTCACACAGGGACACAGGAGAGTCTGTCTGGCCATGGGGTGTGGGAGGACAGAGGGCAGAGAGGTCAGGCAGAGCCTGCAGTCTGTGGGCAGCGCTGCTTTCCCAACCCACCACCCCCAGGATGGGGCTGCGGAGTCAAACCGTGTCTGAGTCTGAGTCAGCGGAACAAGAGGAGCCAGACAGGGATAGAGGACACAAAGACAGATTTTGGGCCTAGGATCCATCCCTACTCATTCTTTGTCCTTTGGCAACACCTTTGGGTGCTGCCTGACCCTCCCTGGGCTTCCCCCAGAAAGAAGGCTCATGATAAAGACCCCAGTGTATCCTGGAGCAGAGCTCAGTTGCTTGTTGCCTGGGGAATCCTCCCTATGACAGTGACAGCCATCAACAGAGTGTCACAGGTCACTCCAAGCCTGGGGGTGAAGGACTGGGAAGGGGCCCCCAAGGTCTAGATAGCACTGAGTATGGACAGGGTGACACCCTGCTGCCCAGGGCAGGGTGGAGAGAAGGATCAGGGAGGAATGGGGAGTCAGGGATGGGACAGGATGGGATGAGCAGACCAAAGGGCAGCACGATGGTCCTCCAGGTTGGGGTGCTGGGGAGCCCCTGACTCCCCATTCCAGCAGACCCAGACTATACTGACATCCTGCCATGTTCCCTGGGGAAGAAAACAGGCAAAGGGTCTACCTGAGACCCCTAAGACACCTGCCAGACCCTCACCATCACAAGGGATGCACAGAAAGAATGCCCCAAGCTCCCACATATCCATGGGGTGCAGTGGACACTGCTGCAGGGCTGCCACCACCCCACCATGTGTCCCACATGCACCGGACCCCTCAGAGCTGTTCGCCCTGCTGGGACCTCGTGCCAGCTGCAGTCCCTGGGGACACAGGCCCCACAGCAGGGACAGGGTGTGAGGCCGTGGTGCGGGGTGAACGCCAGGTTAATCTCCCGCTGGAGCTTCCCTCTGCAAACAATAAGACAATGCCCGGCCGGGGCCGCCTGCGTAACCAGCGGCGCGGAGGGGAAGTTGTAATATTTGGATTTAGCCCTCAGTAAATTAAGGAAGAAAGAGGAAAAAGCGCTGGGGGTAATCAGAGCAGGGCTGGCCCCGTGCCCTGCCCCATGGCCAGTGGCCCTAGAGGCTCAGCTTAGCCTATGGACAGCAGCTGAGCAGGGCCAGCAGCTCGTGAGTCAGTGAGGCTGGGCATAGCTGGGAGAAGGATACACCCCTGAAGGCCAGGCAGAGGACAGACATGTCCCAACCATGGGGACAGCAGCCTGGAGGGTCAAGGCTTGGATACCCAGCAGGGCTGTGGGCAAACATCTCCAGCCACATCAGAAAAAAGGGATCTGGGCCAGGAGGTTATTTTAATCCAAACCTCTTCATGGGAAATAAAATCCTATTTCTGCAGCTGGGGTGGCTGGGCAGGAGAGGGCCCAGGGGGTCATCGCCTTTAGCTGGCAGTGGGTGGCAGGGGATGACAAAGGAGCGGGCTGTCCCAGGATGTCTCCATTGCACAGCCCCTTTCCCAGCATAAGCCCTGCAGTGGTGCTGGCTCCCTGGGATCCCACGGCAGGGCCCACACTCAATCAAACAGGCACCGTGGTTGGAGATGGGGCTCTGAGAGGGGACGGGAAGAGGTCTCAATGCAGGGGATTCCTGCAGATGCTCAGGGCAGAAACAGTGCTGCAGGGCTCCTCCAAAACATGGCCTTCCCTCACACCAGCAGCCCCACTCATGCAGGGATGCCCTTGCCTGTGCTGGCCCCAATGGGGTGAACAGGGCAGGGATACCCCAGGGAGC